CACACGCATACACACACACACACGTTGCGCACTTCTTTTTCACTTTTCTTTTCACTTTTTTTCACTTTTTTTTTCTTTCGATTGATTGATTGATTGGTGGGAGGGGAGTCGGTCCCCTCACCCCGCCCCCACCCCACGCACTTACACACACACAACCAAAAAAAAGAAAAAAGAGAAAATCTTGCTTTCGTTTTCTTTTTTCTTGTTTTTTTGTAGTTTCCGATTTTTATTTCTTTTACACCAAAAAATATGCGATTTGAAAAATTGGAAGGGAAAAAAAATGGGGCTGTAGGGTCCGAAAAACTCTACAACCCCTTTTTTTTTTTTATGTTTTATTTCGCCCAGGAAAACTCCATGAAAATCATGGCCACAGAACTGGGGCCGCGATCCACGGCCGCGGCCATTGGACCCCGCGGCCGCGACCGCGGGTGATACATAGGATCGAGGTTGTGAGTGAAGTGAGGGACATACCTGGTGCTTGATGTGAACGGCATTGGCCGAGATCTGCTCATACTTCGGGAAGCTGTTGACGTCACCAGCGGGATTGTAGATAGGCTAGATAGGATCTGCCATTCGCAGTCTGGGCGCTGAGCGCCAGATAGGGATTCGACATTGGTTCATTGTTGATGATGATGAGACTATTCCAACATTGTCACTTGTGAGCTTTTGCTGTGCTCTTATTTGGTGGAACTCGAGTCGCAATTCTGCTTTTGGTTCGAGGTCAAGACTATCTGGTTTAATGTGTATGATGCTGCTTGGTTTTCTGGAATTCGCTATCGCTCATTCTCCTTGCAAAACAGCTTTTCTCCTTATTATTGATAATGCAACTCGGAGAAATGAAACACATCTGGCACAATCGGAGTGAATGTCTCCATGGAAAAGGGATACTGCCCGTGGTGAGGGGACAGGTGCAATCAGACTCGCTTTCTTCTTCACTTCGAATACATGCAAAGACATGACAACTCACACTGGCTCTGTGCGCCCACACAAAGCTCAGAGATAATCAAGCCGAGAACACAGAACCGTTACGAACTTGCTTCCATCTGGCTATGGCGCCTGAGCGCTCACACACATCCTTCGTTCGTCACTGTGTCCACACACGGTTCACACGTACTCGTCTCTGGATCACCCTGAATATCCCACGCACATACACTCTGCCACTCACACACACACACTGAACTCCGCCTCTAAGCTACAGCATCTATGGCCGCCTAACCCCTACTAGCTATGGATACTCCATCTTCCTTCGGCCCACTTCGTCCTCGGGCATCTGCAGACAACCTCGCACAAGACGCTAGGGCAGCGCTTCCGCATGGCTCACGCAGGAATGAATGAATGGCTGGACGCTGCCTCTTGATTTATACTTCTGTAAGTCGCTGGTCTGCTCTTTTCCACCAGGCCCATGGTGCACACAGTCCCTCATGGTACTTGCTGACTGTACAAAGTGAGACTGGGACTGGGTACTGCTGACTAAGCGAAGTTGGACTCACCACTTGCCCACTTGCCTCTGGTCTGCTGTGAATAACGTGAGAAAAACTTGAAAGGCCACTTCTGGACCTTCCGGAAGTCTGTGGACTTGGCCTTTCGAGACTGTAGCAGCTACGACCTTGACCTTTCAGGACTGTAGCAGCTACGACCTTGACCTTTCAGGATTGCTACATCTACGGCCTCTACACAACTATGACCCCTAGTCGACAGATCTACAGCTACACAAACCTACGACAAGCAACAGTCAACTACTAAAACACAGGTCACGGGGTTCAAACACACAGGGGTCGACTCGATACTGTACACGGGTGTGGTAAGGTCTAGGGATCGAGCCCTGGGATCTGCATCTGCTACTGCTAAGGTGAAAACTGTTTCACAGGAGGTCACCATTCGTAAAATGGACAGGGACAACATGGATGGACAAATGCGTTCATTGCCCAAAGAAGGAAATGAGTTTGATGCCAGAGAGCCAAACACAGCTGTCAGAGGTCCTCCGTTTCAGGATGTAATGATGTCTAAAAAAGCGAAAAAAAGAAAAGGCAAAGTTGAGAAATCTACCCTGGGGGGGGGGGTAAGGGTAGTTTTCTCAACTTAAAATGGTCTCCCGCCCAAACTGAAAGGGCCAAAGCATACTACAAAACGGATTTCACGTCAAATAAAAAATCTACAAAATGACCGAATCTAATAGGTTATTCTCCTGAGTGGGGATCCGGGCCGCCCAGGTGACTGGCAGAAGCCCGGGGGAGGTCCCGGGCAGGGCACCTGGTTCGGGGGGAAGGGGGGGGCAGCGCACTCACCTGTCAGCGGGTTTCGGACCCCCTTTTGGCTGGTATTGGCCTCCCGCAGGTTGTGGATCGATATTGGCCTGCCAAAGGTTGTGTGGAGAGAGAGAGAGAGAGAGAGAGAGAGAGAGAGAGAGAGAGAGAGAGAGAGAGAGAGAGAGAGAGAGAGAGAGAGAATGTGGATCGATATTGGCTATATGCAGCTGATATGCTGCCGAAGAACTCAAAGATTTCCGGCAAGTTGTCAGTCTGTGAGTCTTCTTTTTCTTCTTCTTCTTCTTCTTCTTCTTCTTCTTCTCGTCAGTCTTCGCCCCCCCTGGGCCCAACCGGCCGGGCAGGCCCGGCCAGGTGGCATCCTCACTCAGTTGTTCTCTTGTATTTCCGACCCATTAGATTCGCAATACATCAACGGCAGAGCTCCGGCCCACCATGCCACACGTGATAGAAAGCTCAGCGTTGAGACAACTCAACTTGGGCGGCGGGACTTCACCCCAGTGCTTGCAACTTTTTCTTTTTCCCCAAATTTTTAATTTTCCGTATAAATTCCCTCCTCCTCTCCCCCCCCCCTTTTTTTTTGGGGCCGTTTGGAAATGCAAACAGCCAGCAAAAATTGAGGCGAGCTGCTTATTTGTGCTCAGCCCACTGTATTCTTTAGTAAAAACTGACTAAAAGGGGAAAGAATAGTACGCCACTTGAGCTGGGCATGCAGTGCTTAAAGCCTTTTTTCTCTCTCTCTCTCTCACACACTCTCTCTCTCTCACTCTCTCTCTCTCTTTTTCTTTTTTTCTTTTTTTTTAACTTCTTTTTGTAAGTCTCTGACTTGTTTCACCAGCGCTTGCTTACAACTTTAGTTCTTGCGCAAAGGATTCGAGCGGTGCCAATGTCCCACTCGTCAGGAGTATGGTCTTCACACCCAATTTGACAAATTCCTTCATGCACAGTCCAGGATCGAAGCACCAATAGCTCAGCGTGCGATTATACTTCTTTTCCCCTGAAGGCAAAGCACAAGATCAGCACATCAGTAAGTTGGACGGATGACGTTGAACAATCCCAATCATTACCATGCTAAACGAAATTGGACAATGCATATTATTAAAAAAAAAAAAAAAAAGGAGGCTCAGGAGGGCACAGAGAACATGAAGCTACTAACGCAGGAGCAGAAGAATGGGTGAGGTGGAAGGAAGATAAGTGGAAAGGGGATATGCTGCTGTGTGTCCGCAAAACTTTCAAGATAGCGTAACTTACCCAAAGCTCGTCACCTACAAGAGTCGTGACGACACCCCCCCCTCTGCCTATTTTTTTTGCAACAGAATACGCTGTGTTTTATACCATTGAGATCTGCACCGTTCTTAAAAGGGGTTGGTAGCCCCTAAGGTTATGTCCATCTATTTTATTATCATGCATTCGAAGTTTGAACTCATGGTCTGTTTATTAATGCTTGCATGTGTGAAGTAAGTACTTTGTAAGTGTGTATTCCTTTGTAAGCATTCAGCGCCACCTGGGGTAGCTGCATACAATTCCCTAGTGTAAGCATATATTCGTTGAATGTTTTTCAAACTTTTTCTTGTAAAAGCTAGTAAGACAAAATAAAATAATACATGAGTTTGTTTGAAGTTGGAACCACAGTAGAAGCCATGAATTTTCCCAGCCCATGTGGTTTTGAGTGTCACAGACCGGAGTTCGAATCCTACCGTCTTCCCCCGAACACAACGCACGCTCATTTTGGCTGTACCTGGCCGGAAATATAGCTTGTATATATTCATTTTTAGGGTGTGTTCTGTTCGGGGGAAGACGGTAGTGGAATCGGTTAAGTCAAACAGCTCTGAATGACCTGGGGCCAGTCAGCTAGGTGATGCATGATATTGCAAGGCCATCACCCTGTTGAAAAATAGAAGAAGTCATTGTCGACAACGAAGAGCAATGTTGTTTCCGTCTTTCCAGGCTTGGTTGAACTGGCACTTGCCTGGAAGAGGGAGCATCGTCACAGAAGAGGTAGAGAGGAAGACATTGCGGACAGAAGTGGTGAGACTGTGAGAGTAAAGAGTGTTGGGCGTTGGTTCAGGAGAGACTTGTTGGCGAGAGAGAGAAGGAAGGCGATTGGAGGAGAAGAACCCCAAGGTGGAGGGGCAGAAGATTGACTTCCTAATGTCCGATGATTAATTAAATTATTACCTAGAGGGAGACATTGCGGACAGAAGTTGTGAGAGTAAAGAGTGTTGGGTTCTGGTTCGGGAGAGACTTGTTGGCGAGAGAGAAGGAAGGCGATTGGAGGAGATCTCCAAGGTTCGCAAGTGATCTGTGCATCGATGCAGCATAAAGACATAACATATCACACAGACACAGACACAGACACACACACACACACACACACACACACACACACACACACAAAAAAAAAAAAAAAAAAAAAAAAAAAAAAAAAAAAAAAAAAAAAAACACGGAACTGTATCCGGTAGATACTCTTCAATTCGATCAACAAGTGATGCATGTGGAGATGCAAAGTCGTCATCGACAAAATCCAGCGTCATATCATTCTTAGCAATCAGGGGAGCCAAATACTATAGCAATATAGAAGAACTATAGTACAATAGTTGTGGAGTACAGTAGACTACCTGGTTCATTGTGCTGAAAACCAGAGGCAACATCGTGCACATGGACCTGGATGGGAGAGAAGTCAACGATCACATGTTTGCCAACAAATCAGTTTAGCGAGGAGGAGGAGGAGGAGGAAGAGGAGGTAAAAGACTCAAGGGGTAAAGAAAACTCTCAAGGGGGGTAAAAAATTCAAGCGGGTGAAAGATTCAAGGGGGAAACTCAAGGGGGAAAAGACTGGAGGGGGGAACTCAAGGGGGAAACAACCGAAGGGGGTAAACTCAAGGCGGAAACAACCGAAGGGGTAAGTTTCCCACAAGTGGCCAAAATGAAATACCCTCCTCAAGACCAGCGGGCCTAGCTGAGTTAGTACACCCAATAAACTGTGGAAATACGGACCCAAATTCGAATCCAGATGCAGTCAGATGCAGACAGACTCAAAAAAAAAAAAAAAAAAAAAAAAAAAAGAGAGAGAGAAA